CCACAATGAGAAGCCACCACAATGAGAAGCCCGTGCACCGCAACAAAGAGTAGCGCCCGCTTGCCGCAACTAAAGAAAGCCCACGCGCAGCAACGAAGACCCAATGCAGCCAAAAATAAATAAATTTATTTTTTTAAAAAAAGAAAGAAATGCCGAACCCAGAGTGATACTACTTCAAAGAATGCCTCTAGAGAGGTGATTACTCATTTTACTTAGTATTCTGTGCAAACTCAGACTTGCCAGTTCAATTTATTAAATAACAGTTTCAGAAGGAGAAAAAAGTATCTGACACCTCTTCAGAGGCATGACTAAATGGGCCATTATGACAGCAATTAAAGAGTTACCACTTGCAGCCCATAACAACTAACTGACACCTCTACTGTGCATTTCTTAGGGTTTCTGTTAATTACAAAGTTTAAGTCTCCAATGAATTTCAATTAAACCAAAGTAGGGCATCAAATGGAAGGAAAAGTTGATGAAGAACTACTCGCTAAAAATGCACAATGGCTGAACATATAATATTTTATGGTCAGGGTTTAATATTTCCTATTGGACCTGATTTATCAGAGCTTCTTGGCAGACATGCAGCTTTTAAAATCCTTTTCATATCAGCATGCCCAACCAAAGTAGTCGAAAGTAACAAAAATGTCTCACATCCATAATTAAATTTGAAAGATAACAGGATATTCATTTCAGGTGATTATTAGTACCACGCCCCTCGATAAAACTTTTAGATTTAATTTTAACTTCTTGAGGGTAGGGACTGTGTCTTTAGTACAGAACCTGGGAAACAGAAGCTGCTTAAAGAATGTTTGCTAAATAAATGAAAACGAATGGATTTGAGATCTTGGAGCCTGACGGATGAAATATTCTATGTCAGCTTCTACCAAGTCAGTTAAGGGAAACCAAATTATCCTGCGCACAATTACGTTTGAAAACTCAATTTTTTCTATGATAGAAAAAACAAGCAAGCATATAAAAACAATCACTGGCTTTAAAGTTAGAAAACAGAATCTAGCCTTTTACCATTTTGAATAAGGAAAAAGTTGTAAAAAAAAAAAAAAAAGACACATATCACTACATGTACTCATATCCAGAGACTTACTACTCACATAACATTTCCAATTACATCTACAAGCTTAGATACAATGTTTGACAATACAGTGCAGAACTAGGGAAATGTTCCATAATTTTGTTTCTTTTTGTCCTCATATTGACCATCAATTAGGTTAAGTCCAGTGAGCAGCTCATTGGGGCTACGATGTGAGGTTTTTAGTATAGCTAATGTTTGTTAACTGTATTTTAAATGGATTAATAACTTCATAAGAAAAAAAAATAACTTCATAAGACTTATTTTTATTAAATAACAGGAGCATTTTGCAATGACGTATTTAAATGACTGTCAAATACTGCTGTTCATACAAAAATATGAAAACTGCCAAAACAGATCTGTTGGTTGGCAGGAGGCAGCACAGTGTGAAATCTATATGAAAATGTAGAAATATTCAGTTTATCCAAAAGCAGAAATGTTCAAAAGTTGAAGCTTCTCTAACCACTAAAATCCCATTGAGATGTAGAGACTATGGAACATCACTTAGAAATTCTCAAACACTGACCTAACAATTTTTTTCAGGGTAGAGAAAACTTGAATCAGGGATCACTGTGCATGTTTCTCGGTGTAAAAAAGCAATAAATAGAAACTTGGTCTTCCTGCCTGTAGGTTAGTGCCAGTAATATTGCAAGGAATTTAAAAAAAAGGCAAAAAAGAAAAACAAAATGTGAAAAGTTGAAGGGAATCACCCAGCAGCTACTAAATGGAACAAATGAGGTTTAAAATTCTTAGGAATCATTCTCGGATCTTAAACATGATAAAAGGTCTTTGAAAAGTCCACTGATACTTTGCAGAGGAGAAATGGACAGAACTGAGACATTACAAGGGCTTTTCACAATTGATCCATAATATCAGTGTCTTTTTGTCATACTCTTAGCCCTATTCTTCTCTTTCCTTTACATTATCTAGCACACAGTCTATAGATATTTACCGAATAACTACCAACGTGGAGGTAGCATGCTAGGGAAGAGGAATTCTAAAACAGGTAAAGCAATACACATCTTAGAGGCAAAAGAGGTAAATATGTATTGTAAATGCTTATAATACAAATACAAGGAGGTAAGAGCTTACAGGGACATGTACAAGATGTATCAGAAAAATATTTACTGATCATGAACTGTCTTGTGTGAGAAGAATTTTAAAGATGCTGAAATAATGCCTTTGCATATTTTTCATTAACTTATATGCCAGATTCTATGATTACATTAGGATAATAACATTATTCACTAGTGACATGAGTGTGATTTATTTTGATTATTTCAACCTTCTAAGCACTTTTGAATTTGTCAGTTTACTACTTAACTTGGTCAGCTACTACTTTAGTACTACTTTCTCAGACAGCTTCTCCTAAAATTTTACTCACAGACAGTTCTTAGCAGTTGGCAATTTATGCACTTCCTCAATCTCTAAAAGTAAAACTAAGAAGTACTGTACTTCAGACTAAAAAAGAGAAAGAAAGAAATCGCAAATGTTAATTTACAAATATGACTGGACATATCTTAATATAAGGCCATTAGATCAACATGAAAAGTCATGAAAAGAATCAAGGAATTGTTTAGCTACAGGCAAGAGAAACTGCACCATTTGGAGACTACAGAGTAATATATAGAAAACCTGTGGTGATGTAAAGGGCAAAGGGTTAATAACATAGCCATGACAACTGGGAAATACTCCTGTGTGTTTTGCACATAACATACCTGTTGCTAATAGTTCACAGACTTACTACTAAATTAAATATATAGCACTGGCCCTAAAGTTTTAAAAGATAAATTTCATTTAAGAAGTATACAGAAAGTAAAATAAGTAAAACCTCCTTGCTTTACATTCAGCCTTACTCTTTTACTCACCCTGAGCCACAAGGTAAACAACTACTTTGTATGACACTATAAACAATAATCTTTACTAATCAAAGGTTCTGCCAACCAAATGGGAGCTTCCGACTTTTAACCCTCTTAACTTCCAAATGCTAGGTAAGTTTCAAGTTGAAGATGCTAAGTCCTGCAATATGTATGTATTTGTATGCTCCAAGCCGGGGGCCCCCAGAGAAGGGGCTGAAATACACAGGCCATGTATGGAGGTAGAGTACTGGGAGTTTGTACCAGCCTAAAATTCTGGTTTTCTTTAGGGAGAAAAGCAAACTTTTAGTTTCTTCCTATCTGCGAGAACCATACTACCACACTGAGGACATAAGTCAATCTAAATGGGTGACATACACATTTGGCCCCTATCAGTTTAATACTTACCCTGAAATAGTTAATGGGTTTCAGGTACAACAAATCATCCTAAAGTAGTCCCCTCCCAGTCAGCCAGGCACTGAGTCAATAACATCTCTAAAATACTTTCTACTGATACATTTGAAACCCACTTGCAAACCGACAGTTTTGTCTTCTATCAGCGTAACTAAATTTATTGAAACTCATTTATAAAAAGACATATGCTACATATGCGGTACTATTATTGCTAAGGTAACTTAAATAGCAATCACGTGATTATGCTGAGAGTTTGCTAATGCCATACTTAGCATCCTTTTTCCTCCAACTTGTGTAGTACAACTCCCTGTACTACACAAAATTCACAAGCATCATGAAGGGATAAAGGGAAATTAGGGCAAGGATAACAAGGAAAACCTCAGGTAAAATATAAACCAAATGCTTATTGAAAGAGAGAAGTGTAGGGATGTTGAGCAATTTTTACCGAGGTAGCAGAGATGTCTGGGAGTACAGAAATGACTTTGAAAATGTAAATCAATTGTAATTCATTTCCTAGTTCTTCCCCTTTTTTTTCATCCATTTTTAAAATGTCCCCAAAGGAAAAAAGAGGCCCTCTTTATAAGACTGTAAAAATGTGAAAATCATTAACATTTTATTATCAAGTAATGAGCTCAACAAACATCAATGCTCCTATGAGTCTGCATTGCCCCTTTGTGATCCTCTGAAGCCATCCTTCCTCAGGCAATGCACAGGTTCTGGGTTGGAGAGAAGGCTCAGGAATACGGTAGGGATGCCGATGATACACTCAACTGAAAATTTTTTAAAAGGCTTGAAATTTTAATTATTTGTTTTCTAAACCCAATCAGCAATACTGACTTCAATACTGACTGTGTTAAACAGAGCAATTTAAAAATGACTTGAGCAAAATATTCTGTGAATCCTCTAAATATTCAAAACTAGAAATCTGTCCAAAGATCTATTTTTAAATCTCCAAACTTTATTACAGATAAAGAAATATTTTTTAAAAAATAAGCCCTTGGGGAAACCAATTATTCCCTAGGTCTTAATTTAAAACCTCAAATCAATTTATATTTATTGAATGCCTACAGAGTGGAAGGCAGCTCACCTTAAATTCTGCTTCTGTAAACTGGAAAATTTAGTGCCTGTTTCTGTGGGAACTAAAGGTATTTGGGAAACTTTTTCTGTCTGATTCTATTTTAGCCTTACAGAGCAACTGTAGACATATGTGAGACAGGAGGCACACCTTCTCAGAAGAGAGGTGTTGAAACATCAACGTAAGATTTATCTACTAGGGTTTATTGCTTGAAAATCTGACCTACTATAAATAGAATCTGACCTACGATAAATAATATAAATACGGTTAGTTGGTAACACTGATAAGTTACATTCTGAAATCAACAGTGTTACAGAAGTAGAACTACTTACGATTAATATCATAAAATTAAGTTATTCATGCAAAGCAAACATAAAAACAAAAAGAAATCAAATCATATAAATGAAAGATTCAAACATGAGATTTTTTTCTAACAACCATTCAAACAAAGCACTTATCAGTATTACTTCCTGAATCATTAAGATGAAGAAAACTGAAAAGAGAAATATTCACAGGGAATATAAACAGGAAGACATCAACGTTGCTAATTAAATCTTGATTATACCTGCCAGGCTGTAAGGCAAGAGGTACACATCAAATGCCCACAAGGCTCAATCTTGACATCTTTGTCGTTCTCAGCACAAATTTTACAGAGCTGAAAAGTGGAACCCATTTCACAATATAATTCATATTGTTCCTGGAATTTGGGGGAGAGAAAAGGCAATGTTAATGTATTTTTAGTATGAAGTGATAATACTGAATTTTCTTAAATACAATGACTTACAGTAAATTCCTCACACTTGATCCTGTCAGATCATGTTGCCATTTAAGACATGTTTTAAATTGGTCATCACAATTTGGTCTACAAAATTAAACAGATTTTATCAGCAATTGCATAAGCTTTTTGAATACTCTGGATTATTTAACACTTTGTACTGTTCCTTTAGGAAGGTACCTGCATCAAGAGTGATTTAAGAGACACAACTTATGGTTTTAAAAGGCAATAATAAATAACTTTACTTTCTTTGTAAATGCCACATACTCATCTAATTGTAATGTCAAATTGCAATATGGCTGATCATTGATTTTATTTCTTAGATAGCTATCTGTAGAAATTCCAGAACGGAAGTGCATTTGCCAAGGCCTTTCTGCATGCTAGGTACTGTCGTCCACATTTATTATGTCATATAATCTCCAAAGTATAATAAGATACACTGAATTTTAAAAAAAACAAGTAAAAATGAGGGTCAGTAAGTTTAAATTATTTCCTTCAAATTCTATAAAAAATCTCTAATTCCCATACTCTTTTCCCAGTCTAACACCATCAAGAAATCTCATCATTTTGGCAACCAAAAATTGTTTTATTCAACATCTATTCTCTTGATTTACTAGTTTAGAAGCTTTTGGCACAGTAAAACTTTCAGTGGTCAAATAATGAAAAGATCTACGTCACAAAGAAGATACAAACATATTGGTAAGAATTTAAAAAGTATGAAAAAATAGTGTTATTTAATAGGGATACAAAGAAAAGGAAATATAGAAATAAAAATTTGTTTAAATAAGGCAATGTTTTAGTCTAGTAAGTACCTACTACATACACGGCCCTGGATAGGATGAATAAATGACAATATTTAATCCTTAACCTAATGAAAGATCTTACAATCTCGAGAAAAAAATATATATATAAACACATACACAGATACACATACACACATATACCCACACATTCACATATAAATTGTGTCTACCATGATATATGTATATGTGACTATATAAATAATCTTAAAATAAATTAAGGAAAAAGACAAGAAAATGGATCAAGATGGAAAAGAAGTCTAAAGTAATCCAAAATAAATTATATATCACTGAAATCCCTAAAATAATAGACAAGTATCTATATTGGTTATGAAATCCAAAGTGCCAATTTATAATTATAAAAAAATTAAAATAGGCTAAAATCACAGCTGCAGAATTCAATACAACCTAAGATGTAAGCTGATCAAATATTTATGAGTAATTTAAGAGAATGATACTACTCCTGAATATGAATTTTTAAACAATTTAAAAAAAACAATGGATTTATAATGAGGAATTATCTCGTGTCTTTTTACATATATTAGAAAATAGAGAATCACTAAATAATTTTTTAAATGGCTTTCATATATTAAATTTTAAAAACTGCCCACACACAGTACCCATGTCAGGAAGTGTGTTTCACATAATAATATCAAGACCACTGAGACTGAAATCTGGAGAACCAGAAATAAAATTAAAAATTATCTGTTGTCTTCCCCAAAACGTATAATTTCTTTTTATTACAGTCTTATTATTATACAAAGCACAAAATATCTAAATTATAAAAATTTTTAAACTTAACTACATGTAAAATAAAATATTCAAGTTCTCTCTCAGTTAAAGACTGTTGCCAGATTGGTGTTTTTCTATTTTTATTCTTTAAAAGCACATTCATATGTTCATATATGGTAATTTTTTATTTATTTACAAAATTGAACTTAAGTAATATAATTTTACAAAATAAAATGTTACATAATTAAGCTTTACATAACTTTTTCACATAAGATGCAGAAGTTCCCATGTGAATAAGTAGAGCTACCTTCCTCCTGTTAAGGACTTTATGGTATATGCAGTATGAGTATACAGTGGTATTTAACCTATGACTGAATATTTTGGTATATTGTAATATTTCATTTTTATGAAAAATGCTAAAGTAAACATCCTGGTGTATAGATCTTCTTGTGTATATGCAAGTGATATGCATATGAAATCTAGAGTCAAAGATCTTTAGATTTTGATAATTATTGAATATCACCCTCAAGAAAGGCTTTACCAAGTTATACTCCCACTCATAACCTATGAGGCTGCCAACAATGGATTTATAAGAATATAATTATTGTCTACAATAGGCTTCAATTACTCATTTGACTCTAAAAACTAATGCATATAATTAACCTAATCTTCTTTGGAGTTTTCTAAAACTATAGCTCTCCCCTCATATCCATCTACCTACCTATGGATTTATTTATCTATCTCCCCACATTAATGCCAATATTATATTGGAAGCAAGAATATTAAAAGCAGAACCTTTTATCAAAAAAATGCAGAAAATAATGTAATTTCTTTTCAAACACTCTTAAAATTCCTTAAATATCTTTTGCATTAAATACCTGCACATGATTTTACCTATAGTATAAGAATCTTATTTATTTCAAAGTCATCATACTTATTTTTTTTTTTTGGAGATACTTATTAATTATAAATATGTCTCCAGAAATTGTCCTTACCTGTGTAACTTTTATATGATCATGGGGTGTAGGTTCACATAATCCAGTTAAATCAGGATTATAACTCCTCCCATCAGGATAAAGATAGCTAGGTTATAAACAGAAATTTCATTAACATAAATATACAAGTCTTAATTGCATTTAAAGTTATTTAATTAGATTCTTCTATATTCAAACAGACCTTTGGATGTTTCCTTTTTATGTAACTTACATCAAGAACTTATTCTATCACTGTTTCCATAATACTACAAGTTATTTTTAGGACATTTAAAATCTAGGAATCTTTTTCATAAAGGAAATATACAATGAATATGGACTCAGCCATTAAGCAATCATTTTCAACTAAATACCTTTACTATATGTATAGGTAAGTTAAAAATTTATTTTCCTGCTTACTCATATTCTATTCCAAAATACTTTGAATATACACCTATTTGCAATTATTACGTCTTTCATCTGAAGCACAGTTAATATTAACTGTATCATTTTACACAATGCTTAGTACCACCAGGAAAGAAAAATAGAATTAAAGCCCACAATTTTCCAACAAAAGTTATTCAAACACTTCCGTGGTGTTTTCTTTCTCCAGTTTCCCATCCTCTTTCTTTCTGTTTCACCTTCCACTTATCCTGACACATATACACATGTGCACACACACATACACGTTTACTGCAGAAATTTAAAAATGTTACAATTCCATGTTTCACTTACTTCAAATCAAGGTACAAACAGAATGGTTTATAAACATAAGGTTCCATTATTAGAGAGAATTAAAATAAGAACTAAAAGTTACAGTGCTGTCTTGCTGTACTAAACCAGCTTTTACTCATTCAGAAATTCATTAAAAAATGAAGTTTACTGTGTTGGTAAACACATATTTTAGATTAAGAAAGCAGTAATATTACTGCTGGATTTCATCAATTTATTAAGTTACAGTTGGTTTTGTTTACTATCTTTCTGTTCTAGATTTTTGAATGAAAAATTAAGAACATAATACTACAGTGGTGAATATTTTAAAGGGCAAAACTATACTAAAACTATTCTGTGAAGTAACAAAAACTATTTATCCTTAAATAAAGAGTCTATAAGAATGTTAGTAAGTATTTTAAATTACCCAAGTAAACCAGGAAAAAATGAACCTAGAGGATAGATAATTCTCACATGGTAAGGAGCATATCAGTGACTGTCGTTTTTGTTTTTTTTTTTTAAGATTTAGGAAAAGGAGTTGACTACATCTGACTATGATACAAATTTAGAATGTCATTATAGGGTTGGGATACAATTCTACAAATATTGAGTGATAAGCAAAAGTTGGTAACTCTCTTTTTTTATACCCTAAAATGGCCAGTTTTAAATATTATTATATATTTTGTTCATCACACTTCAAAAACATAGAATTCTAGGAAGAATTTAGAAATGAAAGATTACAAAATGACAATAAGGTTGCTAGAGGAAAGGTTAAATGGTTCTATTTAATGTATAAGGAGCATTTCAGTGATTACTGTTCCCAGTACACTGGGGTGCTACTGATGAGCCCTTTCCAATGGCAGTGAAGGAATAAGGAATCTTGGCTAGTTATCAAAGTAAACTTCTTTATCACCTATGTCCTACAATATCAGAATAACTATACGGAAAGGAGAGCTGACCCTGATAGTTGGACCAGATGATATCCTGTGTTTTTACTGATCTTAAGGAAAAAAAGCTAACAAACAAAAAACCTATCTAATTAAAATGCTAATATTTTAATCTAATCTAAAACCTAATCTGATCAGATTTTAATGTAATCTATCATTAAATTTCAAATTCAACTAGCTAAACCCCTCTGAAGATGTGTGTGTGTTGTGTGTGTGTGTGTGTAAATATTAACAGCTAACTTGCACAGGAGTTTGGAGGCTAGACTACTGATTATGATATTATAATCTGTTAATTTTGATTGACTTTTGAAAAATAGATGTAAAGCATTATAACAATATAAACAAGCTATATCACTAATCGTTAGAGAAATGCAAATCAAAACTACAATGAGGTATCACCTCACACCAGTCAGAATGGCCATGATCAAAAAATCTACAAACAATAAATGCTGGAGAGGGCATGGAGAAAAGGGAACCCTCTTGCACTGTTGGTGGGAATGTAAATTGATATAGCCACTATGGAGAACAGTATGGAGGTTCCTTAAAAAACTAAAAATAGAACTACCATACGACCCAGCAATCCCACTACTGGGCATATACCCTGAGAAAACCATAATTCAAAAAGAGTCATGTACCACAATGTCCATTGCAGCACTATTTACAATAGCCAGGACATGGAAGCAACCTAGGTGTCCATCGACAGATGAATGGATAAAGAAGATGTGACACATATATACAATGGAATATTATTACTCAGCCATAAAAAGAAATGAAATTCAGTTATTTGTAGTGAGGTGGATGGACCTAGAGTCTATCATACAGAGTGAAGTAAGTCAGAAAGAGAAAAACAAACACCATATGCTAACATATATATATATATGGAATCTAAAGAAAAAAAATGGTTCTAAAGAACCTAGGGGCAGGACAGGAATAAAGACGCAGACGTAGAGATGGACTTGAGGACATGCGGAGGGGGAACGTAAGCTGGGATGACATAAGAGAGTGGCACTGACATATACACACTACCAAATGTAAAATAGCTAGCTAGTGGGAAGCAGCCACATAGCACAGAGAGATCACCTCGGTGGATGCTTTGTGACCACCTAGAGGGGTGGGATAGGGAGGGTGGGAGGGAGACACAAGAGGGAGGAGATATGGGGATACATGTATACATATAGCTGATTCACTTTGTTATACAGAAGAAACTAACACAACATTGTAAAGCAATTATACTCCAATAAAGATATTAAAAAAAAAAGCTATATCAAAATTACTCCATTTACAGATATACTCACTCATAACCTCTTTTTTATAAATTAAAACTCTGAAGCACATTTTCTTCAAAACAAAAGTCCTCTTATCATAGTGAATAGAAAGCTACACATATGAATCTTTGATGCACCAGAGGTAAGGTATAAATGACAGAATAGCAAATTTATGATAATTTTAAAAAAGAGAAATAGACATTTGGTACCAGTTTGCCATACAATTCTTATGTAACTATTTCTCGAAAATTCACAACTTTTATCTCTTCACATAGATCTCATCACGTTTTCTTCTTTGTTTTTGCAATTACTTTGGAAAAGTAAAACTTTTTGCTATTGGAAAATTTAAACTGTTTGCTCTTTCTGGTGAACTTTCTCTTGCTAGGCTTCTATCACAGTCCATGCCGCAGCAAGTAGGAGCACATATGTCTCTAAGTTACTCAGCAAGGCAAAGGACAAGAAAAGTCAGTGAGATGGAGGTGACACTGAAAATACCACAAAAGGGTGAAGGGAATGGCATATGACTAAAATGAATGAAAGACATATTTACTATGAAGGGACACATCAGATTGTCTAAACTTTATGTACGGAGAAGAAAGGCAATCTTAACCTAAAAAGCAAAGGAGAATTTATCTATTTCTAAATTTAAAAAAAACAGCTTAAGATAAACTGAACTTAGCTATTAACATACAATTCTGGAATATGGATTTATTATTGATGTGAGTAAAAGAAGGGAGACATGAAGAGAAGGGAAGGGAAGGGATGAGAAAAGGATAAGAAGAAGAAAAAGAAAATGTGGTATTACCAGTGAACATAAAAAGTAGAACTAGCAATTTAAGGGTTACATGAGGCAATAGGAGTCAATCATTTTAAAGAATTATCCCAATATATACCGTTTTACATCTAATTTTAAACTACCTTTAGTTAATAAGTTCTTTTCCTGTGAAAGATACAAAAATTCATTGTAATTTGATGTTGGAATTGATTTGCTATGTTATACACTTAAATTCAATGATAGCAACCATAGGTGGAATCTAAGAAATACAATAAACTAGTGAATATAACAAAAAAGAAACAGACTCCCAATACAGAGAACAATCTAGTGGTTACCAATGGGGAGAGGGAAGGGGGGAGGTGCACTATAGGGGAAGGGGAGTAAGAGGTATAAGAGGTATAAAATAAGCTACAAGGATACATTGTACAGCACAGGTAATATAGCCAATATTTTATAGTAACTATAAATGGAGTATAACCTTTAAAAATTGTGAATCACTATACTGTACACCTGTAACTTATATAATATTGTACATCAACTAGACTTCAATTTAAAAAAACAACAATAACACAAAAAAAACAAAGAACAGAAAGGACAAAAGAGAGGGAGCAACAGAGGGAGGAAGGCGGAGAGAAGGAAGACACGTTTCAGAGACACACCAGCACGGTGCTCCCCACGGAAATGAAGTCCCAGGCCCATTTAATAACCAGTTGTATTTTTCTGAGAGAGAAGAGCTGATGGATGGCTCTTTGGGGGGTTGCTTTTGTGAGCTGTCTGCAGCAACCCCATGAACAGAGGAACCCTTTGCAACTTCACCAATGGCCCAAAAACAGAGCCTGTCAGAATCTGCTCATGATCCCAACAGGATTCAGAGGTCCTACACTGACTGGGAGTGCAATTTGGGAGCACAGGCGCAGAGCTAGGTAGGGAACAATCAAATAATCATTCCACTGAGTCCATTCTCCAACTGTACCTATACAACTGTATACTTCTAATATTTGTAAGACAATATTGAGACCCGAAGATTGTTTAGACCATGCTAGAAAAAAATATATCAAATAATTAGGTTACCTTAAAATGACTATTTTAAGAGATGAACAATAAAAACTAAGGAACATCCATTAATTAGTCTTGAAATAAAAACCAGCCTGAACATCAGCCTCACTATCCATTCCCTCCATCACAAAGTGGTCTCTATCTTCCACATCTGTGAAGAATAAGCACCCCCAACTCCCAGGTCTCATACTTACAATCCTTCCCTGCTGCCGTCGATCAGGGCTTGAAATAAGGGCTTGTTGTGCGGTATGGTCTGTAAGATATTTCCATCCCCTGTCACATAGCCGATGGCCCACTGTCCCAACCTAGTGCAGCTTAACCGGAAAATGTAGCTGTGAAACATAAGAAAATTACGTTTAATCACATTCAAAATGTAAGCTAACTACTACTAAACAATCTGTTAGATTTTTCTTAAGTGAAAGAACAAACAGAATCATTTAGAATTTCTATCTTCAAACTTATTTTTACACCATTTTCCTTCTCCATTTATTCATCTGTAAAAGAAGCAATGATAATAATTCCATTTAAGTGGTTTCATCTTTGAAGAAAACTGGGTTTTTAAAGAAAGGAAGAAGTTGTGATTTTTTTAAAAAATTAATTTAGTTATTTTATTTATTTTTGGCTGCTTTGGGTCTGTTGCTGCACGTGGGCTTTCTCTAGCTGCGACGAGCGGGGGCTACTCTTTGTTGTGGTGCACGGGCTTCTCATTGTGGTGGCTTCTCTTGTTGCAGAGCACGGGCTCTAGGCGCATGGGCTTCAGTAGTTGTGGCACGCGGGCTCAGTAGTTGTGGCTCATGGGCTCTAGAGCGCAGGCTCAGTAGTTGTGGTGCACGGGCTTAGTTGCTCCGCGGCATGTGGGATCTTCCCAGACCAGGGATCGAACCCGTGTCCCCTGCATTGGTGGGCGGATTCTTAACCACTGTGCCACCAGGGAAGTCCCAGAAGTTATGATTTTTAAATATTAAGAACTTCATATTGGTTTTGGAAATTTTGGAAAGGACTTTTCAAGAAACTCTAAAAACATATTCTCCTAGAAAGCCGGAAAATAAATATCAACCTGTCCCTTATTAGGATCCTTAATCGTAATCACACAAAGTAATTCCACACAGACTTATTATGACTGTCAGTTGGATCCCAAATAAAGTACATCCTGAAGAACTCAAATGTCCTTGTAATAAACCCAACTATTTTCTTTACCATGAAGCCAAAGAGATGAACCACTTTCCAAGAGAAAGAACCACTTAAACACATATCCAGCAAATATTTTTCAAAATCATTTGATTTGTTCACTGAGTTTTCCTAAACACCCCATCACACCTTACCTGTAACAGTTTACCACAGTCTAATCATTTCATCTTTAACTACCTAAAACTTCGAAGAAATCATTGTTACAGGGCAAGAAGGGAAGGAAAGGAAAACATCCCTTCAGAGGGTACTATCTTAAGAGAACTATTCCGATAGCAATGAGACCTGGCTTTTGCTTCCAACACTGCCATTAATTATCTCCATGATCTTGAACAAGAGAACACAAAAGGGACTCAGTTACTTTATTTATTTAGAATTGGACAAGATAATTTCCCAAATGATGTCTGTGTTAAATTTGCATGATTCCGTGATTCCAACCATATTACATTTTCAAATCATACTCCAGAAGCAAGAAGATACTTTGATGCCAGTGAAAAGTTATGGAAAAATCTGGTTATGAGAGATCCCTGAATGAAACAAAATGACTCACCTAAGCCACTGTCAATGTGCACAATATCTGGCCTGCTCTTGTGGTCACAATGAGAACCAGCTCTCAGTCTAAACCAACGACTCCACAGGAGCCACACTGTTTTCTGTACCCATTACCTCCTTCTAATATACCATATAAATTCTTAAAAATAAAAAAGGTGGAAATTTTTCATTATGGCAGAGAAGAAAGGAATCATCAATAACTGACTGTACTCAAAAAGACTTTGCTAAAGGACAAATGACATTTGCACTACAAATCAAATAAAACGATATTAGAGGAAAAAGGTAGATTTAAAAAACCACCAAATTCATTCCTAAAATGAAATGACCCCTATGTGAAAGTCAGTGCACTCACAAACACTGGGATGGTATCTCCTACTAAAACATGAGTGAAGGAAGGCAGATCTCCACTGTCATTAGTGTCGCACCCAGCACACTGCTTGCCACAGCACGAATGTCTACTATGTGCCTGGTGCATTTCTAGACCGCATGTGGGGAAAATGCCTGCACCAGGGGAGAGACAGACTTTCTCCCGCCCAGATTTGCCATTAATAAGGTGTGCTTTCTCGATCAAAGCCAGAGGGGCTGATCACACAGCCAAGCTCTGAGTTTCACTCAATTTCAACATTAAGCATGAGGTCTTATGGAAGACGTTCTCAAGGACATGAAACTGGTTTGGATTGTTAACAATGGGCTTATATGTCTATGTACTTACATGTGTTCATCATGCATGTATATGTACACTTATATGTACTTACACGCATTAATATGTATTTATATGTAATTATGTGATTACCATAGAACCAAATTGAATGTCTTGAAAAAATACCTTAAAATAATGAACATGAAACTGATTTATTTTGTCATTAGCACAATATTCAAGTATTTAAATATACACATCTAATTTTATACATAAACATGTGTCATGAAACAGTTAATATGCTAATATCCTACTCCAATTTGAAACTCTGAGACTTACTCTCTGAATTCATCAAATTACATACTACCATATCCTCTTTCACTTTATGAACACTAAATTTCAGAACAAGCATAACGTACCAATTTAAAGAACTGAATTAAGAAGCACTGTTTTGGTCTATTAGCATTTCCCTCCCCTCATCCCTATGGGTGTTACTGATTTACTTAGGAATGAACCACAGAGGACTTTTCATCTTTACATATATCACATAATATTACTGCCAAAAAGTCTTACCTTCCGGGTTTAGTGCTGTATTTCTGTAGCCGTGCTTTTACTTCATCGTACGTGAGAAATGCCATGTAACCCGGATGTGTTACAGCTAAGAAATTCCAATTCCGTAAAATAGAGCCCCAAGGCTAAAAATATAAATAAATTAAAAGATTACCTAGAGAATATCAACTATCAATTACACAGCAACCCATCATTTAATACACATACTAAAATTCTCCTGGATATTTTTAAAGTGAATATGAGCTTACGGGGTTTAGGCCAAATTCTAGTACCTAACAGCAAACATGCAATTATATATTTTCTTTTTGGAGAAATATGATTATGCAGAAAACAGATTTCTTAGGAATAAAATACAGAAAGCAAAAAGGAAAACCACATAATCTCTTCTCTACAAATTCTATTCCCAATACAGCAGTTGTGATTAGTTTGAAACATAAACCACATCAACTCTTCTGTTCAAAACTCTCTAACTTTGAGTAAAAGCCAAAGTCCTTATAAATGGCCTAGAAAGACCTTTGCAGGGTTGAGCCCCAGTTCCCTTTTTGTCCCCATCTGCTGTGACTCTCCCACTTTCTGCCTTTCCTCTAGACACGCGGGCCTTGTTGCTGCTGGCCTGAACATAATTATATTCTCTCACCTCAGAGCCTTCGAACTTGCTGATCCCTATACCTGAATTCTTTCTCCAAATATCCATGTGACTGCTTCCTCTCCAAATGTCATTTCCTCAATGTGGCCTTCTCAGACCACCCTATTTAAAACCACTAACTCTCATCTCATGCCTCATGTCCCTGTGTGTCTGTTTTGTTCACTACTCTGCATTTAGACATCTCACTTTGTAGAACAAAACACTCCATCATGGAATGTAAGTGATTTGGCAAAGTCTACACATTGGCCATAAGCTACATGAGAACAAGGAACACACCTGTCTTGCTTCCCAAAGGGAGACCAGGCACTAATGCACAGTGTCAGAGCATAGTGATCAGGCTGGGGGAATAGCTGAAGAGGTCCTCTACTGAGTGACTTGTCTGCAAGGCCTCAACTCCCACGGTAACAGACTATTGTACTCACATTTGGTTTATCCGTGTACAATCACAAACTCAGAAAAGTTTATGGTTTAGAGGTGAGCTCTGTAAAAATCTTTTGCAGAAATAAACACAAACACACACGCACGCGCACATGAAGGGTTTGTATCGTTCTCTCTTTAATAGGATTAGTTGTCCCTCCAGTTACCATGGCAAGAGAAAAAAGGCAGCCAGTAATAGACAACTTTGCTTGAGGGTGTGAATGAATCATCTCTGCCATATCTTTAAGGCTGAAGCTACATTTATCCAAAGGAATTGGCAGCATACTCTATCTGATGTGCCAGATTATTAACTCAAATCTTCTACATAAAAGAAAAAAAAAAGGTATTTTGTGTTGCCAAGTGATAGTTGTTGAAATAGTCATCCTAGACATGATTATTGGTGGAGGGCTCCTGCTTTTGTCTGTTTTGAGACTTGTTCCTTGTGATTGTTAAGCAAGTTTCAAATTTACAAGGCGCAATTCTTTAAGGATTGTATCCCTTGAGATGAGGATAACAAGGGAAAGAATGATTTAGTAATGAAGAGTTTAACCTTTTCCAAAATAACAAGAAAAATCTTTAGGGTATTTCCCCATCACACTAAAATACCTAACTGGGGAAAAATGAGCTCTGGAGACACTTATTATGAGAGGTTCTGTCTATGTACTTGAAAAAAACAAAAACAAAAAACATGTTTTTAATTTTCTTCTTAAGGGATGACTAAAAATTACATAAACAATACTTGGAAGAGTATTAGCATATGTTTAGAAAAACCGAAAAATTACTATTATAGTCACTGAGTTTTGTTTTGTTTTGTTCTGTTCTACTTCCTCATCTACAAAGGACAAGGATGAAAAAGATACAAAATATTTGGGTCACTTCCATTAAAATCCACACAAATTAATTAAAGAGTTGTTTTACAAAATGCTGAACTTTATAGAGAGCCAATGCACAGATCAAATACAAGCAAAAAAAAAAAAATGAAACTGGAGTTTGGAGCCAAATGCTGCAGTATTTAGCAACCATTTCTTAGTAATAATCCAGAGGGCCAGATTCTAACTGCAACAAGATTTATGTAATAGAAAGAGTCTGTGTACTATTTTTCTTGAGAATGCAACCCACAGTCAGAAACACCTGGTAGTTTTGTATTGTGTGTGTGTGTGTGTGTGTGTGTGTGTGTGTGTGTGTGTGTGTTTAAAGTATTTTGCCAACTAATGGCTTAAAGGAGGCAAAACAAAGTGATGGGAGAATGGTTGTTTTCACAGTTTGTTTTTAGGTTATAGGAAATCTTTTCTCACACACCAACACCAAGTTATTTGGAGATTCTTAAATGACTACAGAAATTAATAAAGTGAATTAAGAAGACCAGTCCCTCCATTCTCCCAAAGGCCACTGTGTTCACCATTTACCGACTTACAACCTACATTGGAAGTAGGGCCTCAGCTGGTCTGCCCAGATACTCTCTTAATCCTCACTACAATAGATGAGTTTCTTATTCTTCTTTTTCTCCCTGTTCCACAATGCTATATATTCCACAGTCAATAGTACATTGCCCCAAACCACTCATTCCTTATCCTGCACCTACTCATCCCATTTACTGCCCCATTTCTCAACAACCCAGTCTTCTCTTACAGTGGGGAAATGGAAGGAGAAGGGAGCAGCAGCCCCAGGGAGAGGGAAGAGGAAAGCAAAAGCCCTGTCTTTCCATTCCAGGACTTGAGCACTTGCCGATCCCAGCATCTCTGAACTACGTGGAGGGGAGAGAGATAAGGTTTAATGTAGACAGAGGAAAGTGACCATGCAAGACCTTTCCAGTGACTCCCAGCACTTGTTCAAGTTCTGGCAAAATATGAGGATGAGGGAAGACAGGAAAAAGGGGAAACCAGAATCCACCAGCTTCTTGCTTCTTTCATTTCCTAGGCAAGTCTCAACTTCATCTCCTCACCTCCACCGACACCTTCCGCAAACCCTTATGCTAGTTTTCTATGTCAAACCTCAATCCTGACGGTGTACCTGCCCTCTTTCAGATGCCGCTCTGTTAAATACCCTATTCCCAATGATTTAATGCTAGAAGGAGTCACTACCAATTAACCACCAATATCACAGCTGTAGCAGAATATATGTTCATGCAGTTACAGTAGCCACAAAACTTACATCTTTCATATAGAATACACAACTATAACAAGAAAATATTATTCAATTGTTAAAGTTATGTAAAAATAAAAGATCAGTAAAAGTTAATACATGTACTTTCTGTGCACACAACCAATTTTATTGTATTTTAAAGCACATATATGATTACAGTCTAAGCATAATGAAATCAGGAGAGGTGAAGAATCTGAGAAACACACAGGGGCTAACAAAAGTTCTTTAGCTACTGCTGTAATTATGAGTTTTAAAAGACACTAGGCATTCTTTGGTCCGCTAGTAAGGTTTTGGTTTTGTTATCTAATACTTTTCATAGTAGCTCTACTTAAAAGATTCTTTTCCTCTCCCATCCCCATGAGCATAAATAAGACATATGTGCCTTAGCGTGCTGAGATTACTTGGGCTGTTTTAATGTGAAACAGCTTATAAGAAAATATGTACACATATTAAGCAGCTGTTTGGGTAAGTGCTTAACCAACATTAAGCTGCCCTCATACCTTTGATATATAACTCTGAGGCGTTCTAGTATTTAACAGCCTCACTAAAAAGTCATCTAGGCTCCCCACAGAAAATACACTCTTCCTAGAATAAACAGCTAGGCTTAATGTATGAAAATAACTTTTGTTCTCTTCCTTCTCAAGGGGAAGAAGCAAAGCATCTACTATTAGAATGTCTTGGTATCATGTTAAATAAATGAAGTATTTGTAAAATTATCAGAAACTTTTAAAGAAAGGAGAGGTTCCATTATAAAATAATCAGTATCAGATAACACCACCTTTTCCTAAAATGTATCCTAAAGTCATTGGAAAAACATTAACTGACAACGTACATATACCAAGGGAATAATAATGAAAATACTGTAAACTGAAAATATCCAAAAGCATACCTCCTGCAGTCATCTGTCTAATTTCCTATTCTATACGTCTAGGTAGAATTATGATTATAAAGTTGTAATAAAGTAAAATGTATTCTATAAGTATTGTTGGCAAGAGTTAATTTGCCCTCTGTTAATGGATTCTTTCATAAATTAAAAGTTAATCCCATGCAATCTTGTTTTCTTACATAATTCAGTTACCCGATCTTTGCGGGTGAGTACCAAGCAGGGTCATAAATCAGAGAAGCAAAATTCTTACAACATGAGAAACATGAAAACCAATATTATACTCTAACATTTGTTGAAAGCATGTTTCAAACAGAATAAATTTTACTGAAGACTAAAATAATAAAAAAAAGTCAGAATATAAGCAAGCCTGGTTTTTGATCAATTAACATCACTTGCTATATAATTGATATTATTAGAATCATAAAGATTTTAGGTGGGGTTCTCACTTTGTGACTACTTGAAATGAATCTCATAGATGATATGCAATTTAGTGGCAGAGGCAAATTCAAAGCATATTTCAAGTCTTCATGTTTAGGGTAATTCTATCAACACATACAAAAATACAAAATGATGGCACCCAGCTTTTATTATGTGACACCTGCTTCTGAATAGCTATGTGAAGACAATTATAAAAGAATGATTAAAAACCAAAAACAATAAACAGGACAAGAAGGTTAATCTCAAAGTCATTTATATTAGGGGAAAAAAAACCAGGAAAACAAATCTAAATTTCCCAAATGAGAGATTTGCTAAATTAATGACAGATTATTTTGATGGAATATTCTGTAGCAACTGAAAATTGAAAATTATATTGATGAAAATACTCACTGACACGGAAAAATGTTTGTGATATACAGATGAAAGAGCAAAGCAAGCTGTAAAAACAGTACACATCACAGTAATCTCCTATACAGAAAAAGACGAGTTTGCTATTTATTTCCAGGTTCACTATTTTCCCTTCTCACCTAATGAATATGGGAGGCAAAGGGGAGAAGAAGTTGGGATACAACCTCAGCAAATGCCCACCTATAAAACCTGCATTCTGGGCTTCCCTGGTGGCACAGTGGTTGAGAGTCCGCCTGCCGATGCAGGGGACACGGGTTCGTGCCCCAGTCCGGGAAGATCCCACATGCCGCAGAGCGGCTGGGCCCGTGAGCCATGGCCGCTTAGCCTGCGCGTCCAGAGCCTGTGCTCCGCAACTGGAGAGGCCACAACAGTGAGGGGCCCGTGTACTGCAAAAAAAAAAAAAAAAAAAAAAAACCTGCATTCTATCAGTTACTGGGCTAAAATGAACAACAAAGTAAAGTGAGAAACCAAATAGGGACTTTAAAGCTCCTTTACATCATTCTTCTCAAAGCTAATAAGCAACCTCCAGGCTTGGAACACCAGATCCTCCAAACTCAAACTCTAAACTTACAGCAATGACCAAAAAATCTTGCTTTAAAATTGCAGACTACCAAAAATGAGACCATTTCCCATATATTTGTATGTATGCATGTGTGTGTGAAAAAGAGACACATACACACACACAGAAGGGAGGGAAGTGGAAGAGAGGGCAGGATTAAGCAAATACAAAGCTTACCTGAAATAGCCTGGTAAAAATATCAAATTCAAAAACTGAAATGTAATCATTACAAGTTAAATCAATTGTTGATTTTAGAGCCATTGCTTCCAGACCAGAGCTAATCTGATGGACCTCATGAAGGCACTGTCTGAATACTTTCCATGGTACAATAGTTCTGTGCAAGAGAAGAAAAAAAAAAAAAATTGAATCAACTATCATTTAAGACATACCTTCCATTGAAACAGCACAATTCAATCATACCATTAATATAATTGCATTTGTACTAAAAGAGAAACAGTTGAGAATACTGTTCATAATTCAGAACATATGTAATGGGTTTTGCTAACCAGATTATTTTCCATTTGCTAAGAATGTGACAAAAATGTAAATCAATTTTTCTCTCCTTGCCTATCAAGATACTTCTAAAAGTACTTCAGAAGAAGGTATTAGATCAATGTCCTGTAGGTCTGACCTCTTCATTTGTGTATGCAAGGTTATGTAACTTTGAATCAAGTTAAATTCTTCCCCTCCATTTATTTTCTTAAAATAATAACAAGATGATGGATTCATATAACAGTAAGAATTCTTTGTTCACTGCATAAGAAAGTTCAGGTGGAAAGTCATTAAGACATTTCTGCCACCACCCCGATAATGTTCTACAGAGATGGAAAGCCATTTTATCTAACCTTTCATATTAATGCAAAGGGAAATTTTAATAACTTTTAACCAACCCCACTGGCTATCATATGGAAACTTCTTTATTCAACTTATTCATTAATTTAATCTTATTAAATACCCCATATCAGCATTTTACTACATAATGCACTTACAGGGTTCAAAAATTTAAAAGAGCATAGAATGGTACCCAGGGGAAAGTCTTCCAACCCATCCTCTACCTGACCAGTTTCCAACATTCACCCACCTCTTCCCCACCATGAAAACGAGTAACATCCATTATTCATTCCTTACTTTTCCTCCTTTTGGAATGTTAAATGCCTACTCCTGAACAGGTGGAAGAAAGCAATCATTTCATATTTTAAGCTGCAGTTTTCATAGTAGGACAGCATAAAAGCTATATACACCCTCTTCTAAGGTTGCAAGTATTTAAATCTTAGGTTTTTCTTTACTTGTATCTCTTGAGAAATAAAACTCAGGCTGAATGGACAAAATTGGCCCCATCTGATACTAATCCTCCCAGTGAAGCAGCACCATAAATGTAGAACTTTCAGATTCATTCGATAATTATCTGCTGCAGTGGCTGTCAAACTTGAGCATGCATCAGAATCACTGAAGGGCTTGTTAGCACAGAAATTTCTGATCCTCAACCCAAGATATCCTGATTCAGCATGACTGGGGTGGGGCCTTGGAACTTACAGTCCTAACAAGTTCCCAGGTGATGCTGATGTGGCTGGGCTGGGGGCAACTCACTGAGCGTCACCAGTCTATGTGATCTATTCATTGCTAAGGCAGGACACTGTGGAGAAATACAATTATGGATATACGAGATACTATCTCTGCCCTTGAAGAACACACTCTTTCAGGGTAGAAATGAGAACTGTAATGCTAAAGAATACAGAAAGGGTATCTAAGGAAGTGCTGGAGGAATTCCAGAGAAAGAGTGATCTGTGGCAAGATGAATAAATGAATGGTGAAACAGGCTTACAATGCTATGCTGTATATATAAGAAAGTTTGTGTTTGATATGCTATTAAAAGAAAAAGATTATGAGGCTGAATACATCAAAAGGCTTTTCTCTATGTATGAAAAAAACAGGAAACCACAGAGAACCGAAGAGAGACACCACATCAGAAGCCATTTAGAAGAAACACACATCAGGCTCTGATTAAGGTTAACAAGATGCTGCTGTTTTAAAGTAACAATGAAAACTCTTGATAACATTAGAAGGCTATTGATTTATGGCAAAGTGTAGATATGCAATTATGTCCAGCTTCATTATAGTTACCTTGGAAGTAGTGCCTAAGAAGCAGTTTGCTTTTCCAAATTAAAATTTCAAATATTCAATACACAAAAGAGACATGAACCATAAAACTCAAAGTAAAAAAAAAAAAAAACCAGTAAACAAAGAACTACTGATTTAAGAAGGGTGTTTTCTCTTTTGTATAGAAATGTTTAGAGAATTTTGTCTTGTGTATATATTAGAAAAAGTAAACAGGCTGGCTAAACAGACACCTTTCGATATCCATTACCATAAAAATTATCCTCATCCTAATATTTAAAGTGCATGCAGATCATAAGTCTTCTGAATAACCAGTGATTTCCCTGAGCAAATTATTAAAAAATGAACAAACTTCTAAAGTTGTAGTCTAATTTACCACTTTGGAACGACAGTTTACAAAGGTGCGAGCTACATTTGCACAGTCCTTGTGCAAATGAGACTTTCCCCCAGTTCCCTTGTGATAAACCTAACGTCCAAACAGAACCTTAATTAAGGGTAGTAACAGGGATTAAAAAGAAAGGGCATTTGGTTAACTTACTATATATAAAACTTTGTACAACAGATACCCTTCCCTTGATCAGCTGAGCCAAATACCCACCACGGGAAGAAGGTGGGAGCAACGGTGGGGCGGGCAGGTTCATGAGTGAAGAAGAGAAATAGAGTACAGTTATTTCTGGAAAAAAAAAAAAGTTCTACAACTGTTGCACTAAGGATCTAACTTTTTAAAGAGGATTTCAAGTTGCTACCACATACTTTCCTGAGGTTTGTGGGTGGAGGAGGAAAGGCAGAGGATGACTGTTCACACCTTGAACTAACTGTAGCCATACCACAGAGTGGTGGTTTCTATAAGCTCTTCCCCTAGATATGAACCTAGTGAGAGAAAACGTTAATGGCAAATTGTTTTACAAATATGTAGGGACTTCAGTGTGCTGGCAGAGACCTAGGAAAAGGAAAGAGGCAGAGAAAGAAAAGGAATAGAACATAAAAGGTCCAACTAAGCTTCAAGCTCCCACCAATCCAGAAGTATTTTGATTTGTCCTTTTGCCACTTACAATTATAAATCACTTTAATTACACATTGAATTAACTTTAAAATCCAGTGAAAAGCTCAAGTAGCCATCAATCCACAAAGAATTGAATAAAAGACCAATGGGTAGCCTGGCACCTATAATAATAATGTGAGTTCAGGATCTTTAGACTTCCAATAGGATAAAAAAATGAGAGCTGCCATTTATTGATGACTTACATCTGCCAATCACCAAATTAAGTACTGAGTTTGTCATAATAACAGTGTGAGGCAGATAATATATTTATCCTCAAGATAGAGATGGGGAAACTGAGGCTTAACGAGGTTAAGTGATTCACCCAAGAAAGACCGTATATGTGCCAGGCATTGTACTAGTTTCAGAACAAAAATCTAAATAAAGCCACAGTCTAATAAGTGGAAAGATTTGTATATAACTTATGTTGTGTCATGTGCTCAGGTTATCACAGAAAAAGATTCATGTGCTATGGGAACCCAAGGGGATGGAGATCCTTGCAAACAGGGACTATCTTATTCATCTTTGCAACTAAAATTTGTGTAATTAAACTCTGTCTAGGGAAGGCAAGGGAGTGTTTCACAGAGGAGGAACCTAGAAATCTGAGTGTACTACCACTCTCCTACTAAACAGAAATGGTTTGATGGCTTAAAAAAAAAAGCGATAGTGTATTCACACAATGTCAGGAGAGATAACAACTTGCTAAATTTTAAAACCCTGCAGTTTTAACACAAAAGAATAAGGAATTGAAGACAAAAATGTAAGGCAATTGATACTCAAAAAAAGGGCAAAACATTTCCATGAAACCACAAGTTCTCATAAAAGGCTATATAGGTTTTATTTTTAACTCATATGCAAAAAGAATCCATATAATAAAGGTGTGAATCTCAACAAAGGCTAGGATGTTTGGAAACAGGAACTTCTGTGTACTTCTGGTGTGAATGAAAATTTACACATTTCGAGAAGGCAATTTGGCAGCAAGTTTCAAAAACCTATACATTTTAACCCAGAAAGAGCCTACTTCTAGGGATTTCAACAAGGAAATTATGTCAAAAAAAAACCCCAAAACACAGCAATGCAAAGACTCATCCATGTCTCTTCAACAGTGTTGTTCATAATAGCAAAAAATTAAAACAAATATGTTGGATAGTAATATGACATATCTATAGATTAGAATATTTTACAGCAATTAACAATTGTATACGGAAAAAATATTTATTGTCATGGAAAAGTGTCCATGGCATTAAATGGAAACAGCATTTTTAAAATTGTATGTCCTTGGGAACTCCCTGGCTGTCCAGTGGTTAGGACTCCGTGCCTTCACTGCCAAGGGCCCCGGGGACCCTGGTTCAATCCCTGGTTGGGGAACTATATCTCACAAGCCGCGTAGTGTGGCTAAAAAAAAAAGAAAAATTGTATGTCCTTTATGATCCAATGCTGAAAACTATCTGGAATGTCTGGAGAGATCAACACAAATTTTAATTGATGATATCTAGATCTTGGTAGGATTACAAGCAATTGCTTTCAGAATATTTCTAATATGCTCTAGTGGCTTAAAGGAGTAAAAGACATACTAAAACTGTTTCAAGTATATTTTGCAATCACAGAAATAACCAATTAAAAACAAAAATTAGAATAGTATTTGCCTATGAAATGGTTTTCTACCTAGGAAATACAAAAAGATTTACAGATTAAACTATGAGAAGAAAAGAGAATTCAACATGGCTGCTAAAGATAAAATATGCAAAAATCAGTTGTATTTCTATATATAAGCAATACATAATTAGAAAATAAAACTTAAAAAATTTACAATAGCATCTGAAAATATCAAATAAATGGGAATAAAGCCAACAAAACACAAGCAAAAACACAACATAAACGCACAGACATACTTGATCAGAGATGTAGAAGACATAAAGGGATACAACGCTTTAATGGACTGGCAGACTCAATATGGTAAAGGTGTCAATTCTCTCCAAATTGATTCTTAGATTTATTACAACCCCAATCAAATATTCCAGGAGACATTTTCATAGTAGGAATAGATAGGCTGATTCTGAACTTCATAGGGAAATGCCAAGAGCCAAGAATAATCAAGCCGAACTTCAATAAGAAAAACACTGACAAAGTTGTACTCTTCACATCAGTTAAGACAGTGTGGTATTGGCACAAGGAGAGAC